ATTTTACCTTTATATTGTTAACGCTATCTCTTGAATTTTGTACTGTTTCTTTAAATTGTAAATCATGGAGTTAAGATCACTTTGCAGGGGCTCTCTTATGTGAAGGAGCAATTATTTTTATTTTCTAACAGGGGGTTATTAGATGCTCTGAGGAGTTCTTTGAGGTTTGAGGTGTATTGTGCAGTGACATCCCCTCAGCAGTTTGAGCAGCATTGTGGTTCCTCTGAGGTTTTGGTTAGGTTTTTGGTCAAAGGAGATACTGGGGGTAAGTTCATCTCATCCACAGTCTATTGCTACTTGGATAACATTCTGCACCTCCTCCTTCATGAAGCTTGGGGAGAGGCCACTGACATGGGTGAGTTGGTGCCATGCATGGAGACCAGGGAGTTCTGTGAGTGTAAAAACTGCAATCTTCCACAGGCCTGTTTTAATTTTCCGGGTTGGCCATCTTTCCTTTTGGGGGTGAAGATGGAAGACAGGAATGGCAGCTTTTGGTGCCCCTGGATGCTGCAGCTGGTCACTTGCTACATTTTGGAGTGGAGCTGTAGAGATGAGTGGCTATACACTAGACATGCCTCCCATAGACCACTAATATATGGGGGAATGCTTCCACTGTGAAAGCATGCTCCTTTACATTGGCAGTTAGTGGAAGCATACTTCCCTGCCCTTCCTACATTCATGCCAGTGGGTCAGCTACATTAAGTGAAGCTTCATGTCGCACACTGCTGGTTCTGGCTGCCATGGGACAATAGAACCTAACTATGCAGTCACAATCAGGCATGACAACCTGCAAATCAGTCGGTGTTGCAAACTCATTTTTGTCACCCATCAAAGCAGCCTTTTTTCGGCCAGGGTTCTGTGGAACTCTAAGGTTATTCTAGAGGTTGTTAGGGGTTCCTTGAGCAGTGAGCAATGACAGATTGATCTCCCAGCTACAATGACTACCAATGTAAGGTGGCAATTTCCCAGTCTAATCACCATCTGGTTTTCACCAGAGCTGCTGATCGTAGAGATGGGTTTAGCTGCATGCTGGTACCAGGTTGTGGCTCTCAAGATCGCCCTACCAAGGTATAAGTAGGAGGCTACAATGTGGAGATGGTACACCATTGAAAGGCTAGAGAATAGTCAGGTCTAGGCAGAGGTCAGCAACGGGCAAGGCAAAAAAATGGTCAGATGCCGGCAGATAGTCATAGGCAGGTGGCAAGCAAACTAGTCAAGTCAATCCAGGTCAGCAATAAAACAGGTAACTCAAAAGGTATTATATCTCTCTTGCACAAGCAGGGTAGCTGGAAAGAGGTCCTAGCACTGGCCAGTTCCAGGGCTGGTGCTTAAATACACCTTGGATCAGGGAGCGCACCCAGCATCATGACCGGTATCTGGAAATCCTGGCAGGGATTCTGTGAGCACCATTACAGGTACTGGCAGAAATTCTGCAAGTGCCATGGGATGTTCTGTCAGGGATTCTGGAAATCCTGGCAGGGATTCAGCAAACATAATTAACACCACTGGCAGACTTGGAGGTACTATAACAGTAGACCAGTAAAGGGGTTTTTACCCCACTGACCACCAATGTAAAGGGGCAATTCTCAGCTGACCACCAATGTAAAGGGTCATTTCTCAACTGACCACCAATGTAAAGGGTAGACATGTGCACTGCCAAAAAATTTGTTTAGTTTCGTTTCGTTTTAAATTCGGATTTGTGTTATTTCGTTTTTCGGGGATTCGGGTGTGAAAGTCAATTCGGATTCGGAATTTGGACGAAATTCGGTAGGGGTAGGTCGAACGTTCGTTTCGTTTTCTGTTCTTATTCGTTTCTTATTTGTTTCTTATTCGTTTCGTTCGTTCGTGACATTTGAGGGGGGAAAAATATTTTTCTCCTTTTCTAATGTCACATTGCTCCAACGAACGAAATGAATAAGAAACGAATAAGAACCGAAAACGGAACGAACGTTCGAACTACCGCTACCGAATTTTGGAAATGGAAATTCGGATTTGTTTGCATTCGTTATGTCTGTAATTCGGAATTCGGATACATCCGAATTTCCGAAAATTCGTCCGAATTTCGATTTGGAACTAAACGAATCGCACATGTCTAGTAAAGGGGCATTTCTCAATTGACTACCAATGTAAGGGGTAATTTCTCCACTGACTACAAACATAAGTGAGCATTTTTCCATAGAGGTAGGGAAAATTCCACTGACATATAGTGCAACCACAGCAGTCTCATAATGCACCGCTGCTGTCAGAACGTGATGTTTGTGCTCACAGTCTCACCTTGCGCACAGATTTTCTAGCCTGCAAGACAACAATCTAAGCACCAGCAGACTGAAACTGATCATCACTGAGGCAGTTAACTCTGCTGTTAACCCCAAACACAAAGAATAGCTTCCACCACCAATTTTAATGGAAACATTCACAGTATCTGCTCTAACAATTCTGACCTTAAGAAATGTCTGTGATCCACGTTGTCACGGCAGACAGCAATATAACAGAAATCAAAATTAAGTAGCTTTCTCCAAAGAGGCAAGAATTTCTTAATTTCTGATTATAGCAATTAGAATATCAAATGAATGATTTTAAAATATTGTTTTAATTTTTTTTAAAAAGAGAGAAAACAGTTCAAGAAAATGATTTACAGAAAATATAGAATGGAATATAACAAACAAACAATAGGAACAGTAAAATAAACAGGATAAATAGTAATTGTATTCTGGTCTTTGGTTGCTGTGCAGAGTCCATGTTCAGAGTAAGTCTGATTCTGACAGTCACTGGTACTCAGAAATGGCTCTTAGCATTTTGGCAATGGTTCTGATGGAAAACAAGAGCTCTCAGCTGGCAAATGCAGCAGCTTTTTATGCATCACCAGAGGGAGTTACTGAGCCAACTCACACCCAATACAGAGAGCTGGGTGGTGTAGTAGTGCTACATAGTTTTACAATAGTTCAATGGACTGTTTTAAGCACTTTTCTAGCCAAACGTTAAAATTTTCACGTGTGCGAAAATTGATAAATTGTTCTGGTTCACGAGTGGTTAAACAAGATGTAAACCAGATGCCCACATCACCTAAAAGATGCCTGCTGCACATTATGGCATAGGCATGTCTGGTATCAAGCTGATTGTTATTCTCTGATACATTAGTATAGCCTTGTTTTTTAAAGAACTCTCCATTATAACCGGAGTTATAAAAATTGTATGAAACTTGTATTGTATTGTAAGTCTTAAAGCCCCTTTCACAGCGGCGGTCTGATTGGGTCGACCTGTCAATTTTTCAAGTGGACCCAATTGGACGTCCAATGATATGTCTATGGACAGCCGTGTGTAAACGGACAGGCATCCATTTACGCCCGGTTACCTCTGGCTCTGGCTCTGTGCACATATCCCCTCCAGATCAGCCCATGGGAAAAGGGTCTAACTCTTTTGTGCAGTTGAAAACAATATGGGAGAATAAACTGGTGAAGGGAATTGTTTAATGATCTCTATAAAATACTGTGAAATATATGATTAAACTGATTGTTTGCAGTCTTCTCTGCCCATAACATAGGAGACCTTCATTCTGGTCTTCCAGGTTTCGAGTCTTTAGCAACCTGGTTGGCTGGGTCTCAATGACATAACTCCTGTGCATGCCCACAGGAGTCACTTCATCTTGGCATGTTGGGTCTGTGTGTGCACAGCTCAGTGTACATAAAAAAAGAATTGCTGAATGGCAGCAAGAAACTTTTATGGCAGAAAAGACTTACATGGTCTCTTTTGTCTTATAAAGCCTTCCGACTTACAGTTTTTTCTTATTTTACTTCCAATTTAAAGAGGAACTCCAGGATTTTCAAACGGTAACCCCTGCAGTCTAGGGGGTGTTAAGAAAAATAATATAGTTACCAGATCCTTGATCCTGTCTAGCTGCTAGACCGCAGTCCCCACAGGCTCTTTTCTCCCCGGGCTCTGGCACTTTAAGCCCACTGACGTCATCAACTCTATGCAAGGTCTATCCACTTGCATTAAACGTACTGAGGGGCATTCCATAGGGTGAGCCCCTCATGGCCCCTCATTGACGTCATAAACTCTATGCAAGGTCCATTCATTTGCATTAAACGTACTGAGGGGCATTCCACGGGGGAGAGCCCCCCCATTGATGTCATCAACTCTGCATTAAATGTTATACATACATACAACATTAAACGTACTGAGGAGCAGAAGGGAAAGAGCTGAGTGGTCACTGCCACAAGATCAAGGATCGGGTGATGTAGCGGTGCAAACAAAGAAAATATACTTACCTGATCCTTGCTCCTGCCTGTCTGCTAGACCAGTCCCTGCAGGCTCTACCCACACAAACCCCTCCAGTCTAGCGGTCTGACATCATCACATCTATTGCATGGCAGGAGCAGAGGGGAGAGACCTGAGGGTTCATCGCTTCAAGATCAAGGATCGGGTGAATATATCTTCTTTATTCCGTTCCTTAGACCAAAACAAGCAGTTAACCCTTGCAGTGCAGAGGTAGCGTCACTGCAAGGGTTAAGTTTTGAAAACCCCGGAGATCTGCTTTAAAATAAAAGCAAACAGTGTGATGAAAAGAAAGGTTTATAAGACAGCTGAGCCAGCAGCAGTAATGGTGTTGGCACAGGAGAGGTAAGGGTGGTTTGATTTTATCCAGCCCTGTGTTCATAGCAGACATAAATGGGCTCCTATGGGTACCAGCCAGCGGAGAGATGCTCTGAACGCGCTGCTGACCCCTCTTCTCCGCTGTACCGCTGGCCACGCCCCCCTTTCCTCTCCTCCCGTCTTGATTGGCCAGGACGCATCCTAATAATGACTTCATTCAGCCCCCTCCTGTCATCTCTCTGTGAATGAAGAGGCAGCCAGCAATTTCTGTGCATGTAGAAGAGGAGAAAGGAGGGGGAGCGCAGCCCTATCGAGCTCCAATTTACGGGATCGGTGAGAAGGACCCCGAGATCCTCAACCCCTAACGCGATGGATCTCCTCTATCTGTAAATGCATCAGCTACAAGTTGGGGGACTGCTGTGTTGAGGGACACTTGTTGGGGTGCAGCAGGTGATCGAGGCTTTTTTTTTTCCCCTACCCGGGACCCGCAAAAGCAGCCAAGACGCCTCGTGCGGTGCTCCGAGTGAAAAATGGGGCGTCCAAGCTCCCGAAGCCCCCCACCGACCCGGGGAGCGCCCCGGGCATGTTCATGGAGAGGTCACAGAGCCGGCTTAGCCTGTCTGCATCGTTCGAGGCTCTGGCTATCTATTTTCCCTGCATGAACTCTTTCGATGAAGAAGATGGGGGTAAGGAGCCAAAATGCCATTTTGATTTCCTGTTGCTTTTTGGGGGAAGATTCTACACCTAGACGTGATGGTATGGTCCAGTCATGACTGGACCATACCATTGCAGCAGGTGGGATTGCCAGTTGTGCTTCTGCATGGCTCCATAAAGTAAACTGCTGGGATTGCAGTTTTTGTTCTCTCCGCTAAAGGATTCTAAACCCTAGAACTGGCACAATGGGTTAAGAAGATCAATGCATTGGTTTCTCTAATTAGAAGGTTGCTGAGGCTTGGTTGCTGTGGACAAGATGTGTGAGCCCTTAACTGGTGCAATTAATTAGTCACCTAGCATGTCATTGAGACTATCTACCAAATCATGGCTAGATTAGTAGATAATTGACTAGGACCTCCATCCTGAATATCAGAAACTTCAATGTGTCATTATTTAGCAACATCAGACTTTTCCCACCTTGCTTGCATTTATATATAGTATATGTTTTCTATTTAATGCATAGAAGACATAAAAAGGCATCTTCATAAAGATTAAACAGCTAATGTCTGATGCACAGCAGTAGGTATTTGCAACAAAGAACCATTTGTACAATTTGATATAGGTATAGATCTAAAGTTCCTAATGAGGTTCTTTCTTCCTTCCCATCAGTAGCATTCATTTCCATCTAAATGTAGGATAATTAGATTTGCTTTCAGATTTTCAGTAGAACAATAGATGGATATGTGAGTGTATCAATGACCTGGTGGCTAGCAGATCTGGTAGCAGACGTGGAAACAGCAGCGGACCTCTTGTGCAAACAGGTTATATGGCTGGCAGGCTCTAATTTGTGGTTGTCAGGCCATTAAAAAAAAGGAATTATTTGATTGCCTGTCTGCATATTATAACACATGTGTTCAAATGAACACCTATTGTATTGTGTATATTTCTAGTTTCTTGATTTCAAATGGTGGTCGTTCAGCCTCACAATGGCTCCTTTCTGTGGGTGCTGGCTTATCAATCACAGCTCGATGCTGCCTATTATACAGAGGCCTTTGCTGTGCTCAGTACCGTATATACTCAGATGACTAATTTTGTGTATAGCACAATTATCCTCCTGCAATGGTTCTCTGTTCCTGCTGTATTATAGGCTGGCTGAATAAAAGAAATACACACACACACACACAGTATATATAGTTTTTTTGTATGTACTGTATATATTTTTTTCCCTGTGTGTGTGTATAGTTATATATATATATTTATTTTTATGTACTGCAAACATACAGTATGTGTATATATACAAAGGAATACAAAAATTATACAGTGTACTTACACCTACCACAGGAGAAGAAAAATTACAGTATTGTAGGTTTGATGGAAACAATGCAGAAATCACAATTACTTTACAGTACATGCTGCTGTTGATTTTCTATCAAAAGTAGAAAACCAACAGTTTTGGGCCTTCTTTTGAGAGAGAGAGAGAGAGAGAGAGAGAGAGAGAATTCATATTGTTCTAAATCCTGTATGCAGGTCATCATGCCTATGATATATTGGTACGGTAGATAGAAAATAAATGGTATAGTTAGTTCTGTTAGCTCCATTCCAGGTTATAGCTATTGCAGTAAGTAAATACACCCTAACCTAGTAGGCGTGCATAGTATAATCTTATTGTGGTTTTGTTATGTTAAGATACTGATATTTACTAATAGAAGATACTGATATTTACTAATAGAAGATACTGATATTTACTCATAGAATATACTGATATTAAGTGATGAAAGATATTGATAGTAAGTAAAGACCAAAGTGTAAACATAACAGAGAAACATGGATACAATTATAAATTGTGTGTTTACTCTTGAACAGAGGAACAGACTTTGTTTACTTGTATAGCCAAGTCAAGCTTAGTCTTACTCTATACCCTGGAATAATATCCCATGATCTATGATATTTAGTAACTCATAGCAACCAGCAATATCATATAATGCAGTTAGTCATTCTAGAAATAGTAATTTCTGATTAGCTGCAATGACTTTTTTCCATGGTGTTGATTACAGTTACTACATTTTTACAAAATCGGCCCCCAGTTGATGCCAATGATTTTTTTCCGAAAGGGAAAAACTCAAACTTAGTTCCCCTTTGGCAAAATTTTAAAACCGGCAACCAGTTTTGGCAAATTACATTGGATGATAAATTTATCAAAATTTGGCAGAAGGTGTAATCACATGGGACCAGATTACAGTTCCAAGTAAGAACAGCGAGGTCTATTCACACTTGTCAGTTTTCATGCAGCAAAACCCATATATATAGCTGCAGGAAAATGCATTACAAGTAGAGATCTCATTATCTCATTTATTTTGTTGGTTCACATCTATGCAATGTAGTTTAGTGTGAAAGACAAAAGAAAACTCTATGGGCCCATTCCCACCTACACGTGTGTGTTACCATGCACACAGAACGGTGTAAATCCAACCTGAAGGTTCAGTTCTAGTTGTTATAGGTCTCAGCTTTAGCTTGCAATCACACCTGAGCATAACATATTTCTGACAAGTTGTCAGTCTGTGTTTTCAGCGTTGCTACACACATGAATGCACATTTTATAGTGTTCTGCAAGTGTTTTTGCATATGTATCAAGCTTCAGCTGTTTTTGATTTGGCCAGTGAAAAGCAGTGATCTGTGACATGGTTTTCCATTGTGGTGTTGTGTTATCTTCTGCTCTTGTAGCTCTTGAGCCATGGTGGACCCCCGGAACACTTTTTTCCTATTTAGTCCCATTTAGTCCCAGGACCTCGGCCTCTTGTTTCTGCCCTTAGTCCCCATTCACACCAAGGCGATAGCATTTTTGTGTGTTTCTGTATACGTTTGAGCATTCTTTTGTGCGTGTTTGTGTGCGTCTGATGTATGTACATTAAGTTGCACTTTGTGGCAGATTCTGAGATATTACTGTAAACCGGCAAATATGCACAAAAAGTGCAACACTGCATGTGTTGCGTGTTTCCAGGCGTTTCCCATTGACTCTATGGGGACAAAACACTAATCTGCCAAAAAGAAGCTCTTATACTTTTTCCAGAGACAGGCATTTTACAGAATGCGACAAAACACGGGGGCCATAGTACTGAATGGAATTTCATTTATTGCGGGTTTTGTCGTGCAATTTATGCATGACAAAACGCCTAGGTGTGAACGGGAACTGAGAATCTCTGGGATCATACATCTTCGAAAAGGGCCCTCACCACTTGAATGAAAGCCTCCATATCAAGAAATGGAAGTCCTGAATCCTCCATGGGTTTTGTTTCCTAGGTTAGGTTTGCTAAGCGGAAAAGAGAGCAGTCAATTAGGTGCATAAACATGCAAAACATGCACGTGTCGAGCGATTACGAAGGCTCCTATTGAAGTCTATGGGGCCAAAAATGCCAGATGGGATTCTGGATGTTGTAAGGATGTTTATATTGTAAAGCGCTGCTCAAACAGTTGGCGCTATATGAATCCTGTATTATAATAATGTTGAGCATAGACATAAGGAAGCACACTACAAAACACTTTAGGGGTTATATATGAGTGAATAACCGAGCCGTAATAAAGTGTGCCGAACAAAGGCCCACTTCGGCGATTCACTGCGGCTCAGTACGGCTGATTTCAGCCGTACATTGGCTGAAGTCAGCCTACATTGGCTGAAATCAGCCGTACATCTGATACACGGTACGGCTGAATCAGCCGTACTAAGCCATAGTAAATAGCCGAACTTTGTTCTGCTCACTTTACAACGGCTCGGTTATTCAATCAGCTGCCTTCGGCAGCTGTGTGAATAGCCCCCAAAGTGTTTTGTAGTGTGCTCTGCATGTTCGGCTGAGCTAAACTGCAGAAGGACTTCGACTCATCCAAAATCTGGATCGGCTGAGCCGAAGCTCTGGCAGCTCACTCGCTGCGGTTCACCCCATTCTCATAGGGGCCGAACAGCATTGAGTGAATAGTCGAATGCCACCGAGTGGTGAATAGCAAATCAATGAGAATAGTAAAAAAAAAAAATGTAAAAATTCTTAAAAAGGAAAAAACCAATTGGGCGGAGCTAGCAGTGACAGCTCCGTTCGCCCCACTTCAGCTGTCACTTCATATGCGTTCAGCTCGGCTAAGCCGCTCGGCCGCCTTAGGCTGCTGTAGGGCTATACAGGCTATACTGAACAGAAGGGCTCCGGCGGCCAAAGAGAGCCGAAGGATCAGCCGAAGCTACAGCTGGATCCTTCGGCTCCTCTGTGAATAACCCCCTTTGCTGCCCTTATATAAAAATGTTTCACTCTGGGGGGATACTGCACTATGACTTCTAAATACAATACCGTTATCTATAGAAATACTAGTTGGTAGTCTAATTAAATAATATTTATATTGTATTTTTAATTATAATATAATTGTATGGAAATAATAATTGGGTAAATAAATGCATAAATAAATCAAAAGGTAAAATGTTTAAAGCAAGATTTTATATCGTTGACACAGAAAAGCAGCTTAATTTAAAGGCTTCGGTATACAGATGTAGGCTTATCCTAAATGTTATTTTTGTCTGATTGAGATAATTATGTGTTGAAAAATGAATGCAGTTTTACAGATGCTCCAGTCGATGTGCAGATTTGTTGATTGATGAATTGTTTGATCACATTCAAAAATGCAAACAAATTCTTGAATATTTTTAGCTGACTTTTTTTCACAGCTGAACTCCGGGATAAGCAAAAATTGTCTAAATACAAGAGATATTTGTATACTTCCATAAATCTTGATGTGCTTTGTGTTTTACTTCCAAATCTCTAATCCAGTGTGGAACTTTCCCTCTGTACAGGAGCTTTCTTTAATAAAGACCCATCACTGCTGCTCTCTCTCTTTGTGCAGGGTGACTGGTCTTGTATCTGCCCCTTTCAGTAGTTTTTTTGCAAACAACCTGTAGTGGGTGGAGCCTTCTGGGCCCCTCCCACAGCTCTACTTTCTGCACAGGTTATTTACAAAACAGTGATAATGTCACTGATATTTTTACAAGGTAATATCTAGC